ATAGGGGCTCTGTGAGACAAAATAGCAGCCTTGAACCTGCTGATGAACCCTGTCCAAAGAAAGGGCAAGCAAATCTCCCCTGGGGGTTATTTAGTTTTTTTGAGAGCCAGCTTTATACATCTAACAAAGTCTGAGTCCAGCGAGAAGAGGGGTGGGAGTTTCTTAAAAGCAAAATACTGAATGAACAATCACAAATGATTCCTATGGGAAGGAAAAATGGAAGAAGCCAAGGTGGCTCCATAAATAGCTTTCTAAAGACTTGAGAAATAAAAAAGACTCATTTAGGAAATGAAAGGAGGGCCTTAGAACCAAGGATGAATATAAACAAATAACAAGTGCTTGTAGAGAGAGTGTTAGAAAAGCTAAATCTCAGTAGGTTAGTGAGAGATGCTAACAACCCCAAAAGGTTATTTGGTTATGTTCAAACAAAGTAAGAAAAAGAGCAAGGACATGGTAGGCCTATTGCAGGGATCAGAAATTAAAATTGTAAAAGGTCATGAAGAGAGGGCAGAACTACTCAATTTCTGCTTTTCCTCAGTCTTCTCGTCCAAGGGAAGTGGTGCTCAACATGGCAAAAACAGAACACATGATGAGGGAAGGGAGTTGCGGCATAGGATCGGCAAAAGGTTAGTACGTAAACATCTAGTTTCTTTAAATGAAACTAAGTCCTCGGGGTACTAAAAGAACTCACGGACGTAAATTCTGATCGTCCATTATTTTTGAGAATTCTTGAAAAACAGGTGAGGTGCCAGAAGGCTGGAGGTGGACAAATATTGTCCCCATCTTCAAGAAGTAGAAAAGGGAGGATCCAGGTAATTACCGACCCATCAGCTTGATATTTATACCTGGAAAAGTTTTAGAACAGGTCATCAAACAGCCAGTCCTTGAGCATTTAGAAAGGATGGCTGTGATTTCTAAGAGCCAGCAATGGGTTTGTAAAAAAACATGTCATGCCAGGCTAACCTTGGTCCTAATCACACGCAAAATTAGCCGCGCGATAGGCACGAATGCCGGGCAGATTTTAAGGACGCGATCACACAGGAACATCTGGCAACCGTCCTGCACCCATCGGCAACCCGTCTCGCTCTGCCGAAGCGGAGTTAAAAAATACCGGGGAAAGTCCAGTATCAAACGAGTTGCTATGGGCCAGAGACGGGCTTTCCCCTGTGTGATCACTCCAGTGCGCTCTCATGGCATCGGGATGGTCTGATCAGGCCATCCCGACTCCGTGCCAGTTTTCCCCCCCTCCTCAGTATGCGCATCATTGCATACTGCCATAGGAAGCCCTCAGTGTGAAGATGTGATTCATTGATCCTCCGTTTATGCGAATCGAAAACAAACAGCTCAAAAAAACCCCAACTCGTCCGCGATTGCGTCTGATCATGCAGTGGCAGGCTATGCCTGCAGCTTCAAAGAACAGTGTGATCATACAACTGCTGGTCAATTTCCTCCGGGTTAAATAGCCTCGCTTTATCTCGCAGTGTGACCGGGACCATGATCTCTTTTTTTGGCAAAGTTACTACCTTGCTGGATCAGGGGAATGGTGTAGAAATAGTATACCATGATTTCAGTAAGGCTTTTGATTAGGTTCCACATAATATTCTTGCTGACAAATTGGTAAAATGTGGTTTGGATCCTATTACTGTTAGGGGGATCTGTAACTGGTTGACAGATCACTCCCAAAGAGTGCTTGTTAATGGTTCCTCAGCCTCGTGGAGAGGAGTGACAAGTGGAGTGCCTCAGGGATCCGTCCTGGGACCTGTTTTGTTCAACATCTTTAACAATGATTTGAGTGAAGGAATAGAGGGAATACTTATTAAATTTGCAGGTTATACTAAATTGGGAGGGGTAGCAAATACAGTGGAAGATACAGGGTGATCTTCAGGCTGGAAAACTGGGCTAAAACAAATAAAATGAATTTCAACTAAGATAAATGTAAAGTTCTGCACATAAGTAGGAAAAATCAAATGCATAATTATAAGATGGGGGTGACTCGTCTTGGCAGTAGTATGTGCAAAAGGGATCCAGGGGTCTTAGTAGACCATACACTGAATCTGAGTCAGCAGTGTGATGTGGTAGCTAAAAAGGCAAATGCAATTTTGAGCGGTATCAACAGAAGTATAGTGTCCAGATCATGCAAAGTGGTGGTATCGCTTTGCTCTGCTCTGGTTTAGACCTCACTGAAAATGTTGACTTAGTGTGCGACTGCAATTTTTTTTAAAAAAAGGCCAACGCTATGGTGGGGATTATCAGGAAAGAAAGTGAAAACAAACCAGTCAGCATCATGACGCCCCTGTAGAAATGGATGGTGTGGCCTCATTTCTATGTACTGATTGGTAGGAATTCTTTGCCACTTGCTAAAAACCAGTAGCAGATTTAGTACACATACAACAGGGGCTACATTTTTCTGAAAGCACTTATATTGCATTATCGCCATCTTGTGATTTTATGTACAGAATTGAATTTTAATCTTTTATGATACTATGTTTTAATCTTTTAAATTGTTATACTTACATGTTGTGAGCCGCCCTGAGCCTGCTTGCAGGGTAGGGCAAGATAAAAATAAAATCAAATAAATAAAAATTACTGTGTACAGTTCTGGTCACTGCACCTCAAAAAAGATATTATAGCCTTGGAAAAGGTGTAGAAAGGGGCATCTAAAATGATAAAAGGGTTGGAACACCTTCCCTATGAAGAAAGGGTAAAGAGGTTAGGGCTTGGAGAAATGATGATTGAGGGGTGACATAATAAGAGGAGGGAGAGAAAGAAGTCCTTTTCTCCCTTTCACACCATATAAGAACTCGTGGGCACTCAATGAAATTAATGAGCAGTAGGTTTAGAACAGATAAAAGGAAGTACTTCTTCAACCAAAGAGTAATTAGCACGTGGAATTCGCTGCTGCAGGAAGTGGTGGCAGCTACAAGCCTAGACAGCTTCAAGAGGGGATTGGAGAAACATGGAGAAGAGGTCCATCAGTGGCTGTTAGCCACAATGTATAAAGGGAACGCTCTGTCTTGGGCAGTGATGCTCTGTATTCTTGGAGCTTGGGGGCAGCAGTGGGAGGGCTTCTGGAGTTCTGGCCCCACTGGTGGACCTCCTGATGGCACCTGGGTTTTTTGGCCCACTGTGTGGCACAGAGTGTTAGACTGGATGGACTATTGGCTTGATCCAACATGGCTTCTCTTATGTTCTTATGGTCTTGCTTACTACAACATTTGTTCTTTCTATTCTCGACTTTTATTTCTTCCTACACCGCAGACAGCAAGAACAAAGATCTGTGTAACTAGGGAAGCAGAGGATGTAGCCATTTACGGCTCTCTACTATGGGGCATAATTGCAAATTCCGTCTATTTTAAATTTCATAAATATGCCACACATTACCATTTGGTGTGGTAACAAAGTTATGAATCAGTGGTCTTAAAGGAGTAAAATAAGTTTATTTAAACTTTCTCACACCAAATTATATTTTCTTTTACTGGTGTGTATGTGGAAAACACCATTTAAAATTCCTGGAAATTTTACCGTTCATCTATAAGTAACACTCCCAACGTCTTTTCCTTAAAGTCAAAATAGCTGGGGAGGCATTAAGAGGGTGTTACACAGAGAGGGATTAACTGTGTGTTGTTTATCTGATTATCCCACCACCACCACCAAAAAAAACCCCTCTAGTAATAGTCCTAGCTGGGTAAAAATATCAGTATTTTCTCCCCATTATGGTTAATTGCAACTTACAGAGAGGAACTTAAATTGGGGTAATGGCAGAGGAAAAGGGTTTAAACATCCCTCCCCTTCTGCAGCCTTCCACATCAAATTAGGACCCACCACCACCACGCCAAAAGAAAGAAAATACCAGGAGACCACCAGTATGGCGCTGCGCTGCTACTTCACTTCTCTCTTGGCCTTTCAATCAAAATGTGTGAATGTGGTATGTTATAACAGAGTGAAGGGCTAACAGTATTTATGTGGAATGATGGATAACATAGCTCAAGGTGGGCGGCCGTGTTGGTCTGAAGCAACAGAAGAAAGTTAGAGTCCAGTGGCACCTTTAAGACCAGCAAAGTTTTATTCCGGGCGTGAGCTTTCGTGTGCACCCAGAATAAAACTTTGTTGGTCTTAAAGGTGCCACTGGATTCTAACTTTGATATATAACACAGTTGTGTTTTTTTTTAAGGATCACATCTGCCCAGTGACACAGGTCTCTTCTTGTTCTGAGATTCTGGAAAAAAACACTGAAGAGACTAACGGCAGCACAGGAACTAACCAGAGGTTAACCACATGACACAGCCCATTGAAACTGCAAGGATCCGATAGGGA